AAAATGAGATACACTACTGCTATTCAAAGCCCCAGTCCAAGCAGGGCGCCAGTGGCAAACACCTGTAATCCTAGCTACTCGGGAGGGTGAGATCTGAAGATTGTGATTCAAAGCCAGCCTGGGGTCTTATCTCCAATTAACCACTAGAAAACCAGAAGTCGTGTTGTGGCTCAAAGTGCTAGAGCTTTGAGCTGAAGAGCTGGGGGACAGCACCCAGGCCCAGAGTTCAAGCCCTATATACAAACAAACAAAAAACCCTATAAAAAACTCAAATTCACATTGAAGTTAATGGATTAATAAAAAAAAAATGGAAAGCTGGATGTTGATGGTTGGTGCCTATAATCCTAATTCTGAGGATCTGGGTTCCATGCTAGCCCAGACAAATCTGAGCCTCTTATGTCCTATTATCCAGCAAAAATCTAGAAGTGAAGATGTGTCTCATGTGGTAGAAAGCTATCTATGCTTTCACCCTCGACTGAAAAAGCTAAGAGCACAAGTCCAGAATTCTGGCAAGTGAGTTCCTGAGTTCATTCCCAGTAATTAAAGGGGGAAGAAAAAGTTGAAAAAGACGACACACTGAGGGGAGAGACCCCAAAGCCTAACTCCTCCGAATAGCTAAAGTACCATTTACCCAAACAATTCCAGGAAATGGAAACATGTTTTTGTTATTGGTGTTTTTGCTTTGTTGCTGTCTTTGTGGTTTTTTTTATTGGGAGGGGTTGGTAAAGGAATATGAAGGGTGAACAAATGCAGTCACTGGATTCAATATACAATATGTAAAAAAATGAACTATGAACTCCAGATCTTTTCTTTGTTGCTGCTCTCTCTTTCCTTCCTTTCTTCCTCTTTCTTTAGTCAGTTGTGGGGCTTAAACTCAGGGCCTGGGCACTGTCCTTTGAGCTATTTTGCCACAGCTCCATTTCCAGCTTTCTGATGGCTCATTGGAGACGAGACTCATGGACTTTCCTGTCCAGACAGGTTTTAAACCCCAATCCTCAGATTTCAGCTTCCTGAGTAGATAGGATTACAAGTGTTAGCCATCAGTTCCTGGCATTACTTTCTCTTTTGTCTTGTTTGTTCATTCATCTGTCTTTAGGAGGACAAATATGGGCCCAAAAATAGAAAGAGGGTGAACAAATGCAGCAGTGGTACTCACTAGACATTGTGCTGAAAATGAATTATGCAACTTGTGGGTGGGGATAGGAGGGGAAAACTGGGAGTCAGAGGAAGGGGTGACATTGTTGAAAAAGTTATCAACTGGGCTGGGAAGGTGGCTCAGTGGTAGAGTGTTTGCCTTGCATGCATGAGGCCTTGGATTCGATTCCTCAGCACCACATAAGCAAAAAAAAAAAAAAGCCAGAAGTGGCACTGTGGCTCAAGTGGTAGAGCGCTAGCCTTGAGCTGAAGAGCTGAGGGACAGTGCCCAGGCCCAGAGTTCAGGCCCCACGACTGGACCCAAAAAAAAAAAAAGAAAGAAAGAAATAGTTGGAATGAGCCAAGCACCGGTGGCTCACACCTGTAATACTAGCTACTCAGGAGGCTGAGATCTGAGGATCATTGTTCAAAGCCAGCCCAAGCAGGAAACTCTGTTCAACTCTTATCTCCAATAAACCACTCAGGAAATCGGAAGTGGTGCTGTGGCTCAAGTGGTAGAGTGCTAGCCTTTCGCTGAAGAGCTCACGTACAGCACCGAGGCCCAGAGTTCAAGCCCCATCATAGACAAAAAAAAAAAAAAAAAAGGAAAGAAAGAATTAGGATGGGGCTGGGAATGTGGCTTAGTGGTAGACTGCTTGTCTAACATGTATGAAGCCCTGAGTTTGATTTCTCAGTACCACATAAACAGAAAAAGCCAGAAGTGTGCTGTGGCTCAAGTGGTAAAGTGCTGGCTGGGCTCCCAGTGGTTCATGCTAAAATGCTAGCTACTTAGGAGGCTGAGATCTGAGGATTGCAGTTTGAAGGCAACTAGGGCAGAAAAGTCCCTGTGAGACTCTTATCTCCAATTAACCACTCAAATACTGGAAGGGGAGAGAGGGATTATCTCATGCCTATAATCCTAGCAACTCAAGAGGCTGAGATCTGAGGTTCACAATTCAAAGCCAGCTTGGGCAGGAACATCTGTAAAACTCTTATCTCCAATAAACCACTCAGAAAACTGAAAGTGGTGCTGTGGCTCAAGTGGTAGAGCACTTGCCTTGAGCTGAAGAGCTGAAGGACAGCGCCCAGGCCCAGAGTTCAAGCCCTACAATGGACAGGAAAAAAAAAAAAAAGAAAAGAAAAAGAAAAATAGTTGGGTTGCCTTCAAGCAGCTCAGCGCAGTGTGGAAGGCAGAGTTGGCGAGTGGAAGACAAGGCCCAAAGAGAGACCAAGGAGAGAGACGAAGGCGCACTCACGATGACACGGGCAGCTCCAGCTGCGCCATCCCGCAGTGCCACTCAACACCGGGAGGGAGGCCCTGCACACTGTCCTCCCACATCCTACTGGGGCCAGCCAAAAATAGCCCATTCCCTGTGGACACCTTCTGAAGGAAAGGCCAGGCATGAGAAAACTTCATGTAACAAACTTCCTGCTGCCCCCACACTGGCCAGAAGGCAGCAGGCTCAGTTCCAAGCAGCTTCTTCTCAATGCCGCTCAGGGTCCCCACTGTCCACTAGCTCTGGCCCGACTCTAGCCAAGATGTCCCCAGTTCAGTTCCCTGGAGGTCTGTGGAAGTGCCTGTCACTCTTCTGCCCCAATCCCGATTAGCTGCCACCTCTCTGTGTTCGCCACACACGCTGGGGGGGAGTGGTGAGCAGGCAGCACTCCCTCCTTTGTTCCCCATCACTAGAAGCTCGCAGATGCTGCGACTCTCCCCTTACGGAGGTGTAACAGGGGGCACCACCTCCCCATCTCCCCATGTGCTGGTCATTCTTCCTTGTTATTATCCCCTGGCTCCAACTTTCAGACGCTGGCTTAAATCCCAGCTTTCTGAGAGTGCTTCCTGGGACACCCCACCCCATTTCCCCTCCATCCTAACCCAGAGAGCACAGGTTTGTCATTGACACGTCTGCTGTCTCTCTCCCAAAGGAAAAAATCCCAAACTTAGGGATCTAGCCTGTTCACTTCTTCCTAGATACTTAAGGGCAGGCGCAGGTCTGATTCTCCTGTCTATGCCTCAGACCAGTTAGAAGACCAGAGCCAGGATGCTGTGTGGAGCTCCAGAGTGATGGGGCAGACACTAAGCACCTGCTGTGTGCCCAGCTCTGCAGAGCAATGGGCTGGGAAGGTAGCTCAGAGATAAGAGTGCTTGCCTTGCATGCATGAGGCCCTGGGTTCTATTCTTCAGCACCACATAAGCAGAAAAAGCCGGAAATGGCGCTCAAGGCTATTTAGCCTTGAGCTAAATAGCTGAGGGACAGTGCTCAGGCCCAGAGTTCAGGCACCATGACCGACCAAAAAAATAAAATAAAATAAAAACGCCAGAAGAGCTGGGCACCAGTGACTCATACCTACAATCCTAGCTACTCAGGAGGATCGCCATTCAAAGCCAGTCTGGGTAGAAAAGTCCATGAGTGGCGCTGTGGCTCAAGCGGTAGAGCCCTCACCTTGAGCTGAAGAGCTCAGGGACAACACCAGGCCCAGAGTTCAAGCCCCACGACAGACACAAAGACACACAGACACACACACAAAATAATGTAACTGTACTGAGCATGCATAAACATATTCTTCAGCCAGGCGCCGGTCTCTCAAGCCTGTATTCCTAGCTATTCAGGAGGCTGAGATCTGAGGATTGCCGTTCAAGGCCAGCCCAGGCAGGAAAGTCTGTGAGACTCTTATCTCCAATAAACCACCAGAAAACCAGAAGTGGTCCTGTGGCTCAAGCGGTAGAGCGCTCACCTTGAGCTGAAGAGCGCAGGGACAGTGCCCAGGCCCAGAGTTCAAGCCCCACAACTGACAAAAAACAAACATATTCTTCATGTCATTATTCCTAAACAATACAGTTTAATTACTGTTTACACAGGTTTTATAATTCATCCAGAGACATTTAAAGACTACAGGACTTTAAAAAAAAAAGCACAGGTCTCTTGCTTTGATCCCTACCACAAAATAAAGACCATAGGAGGATGTAGGTCATACGCAAATACTCCGCCATGTTATATGAGAAACCTGAACCTCTGTGGCTTTGGTTTTGTCAGGAGTCCAGGACCCAATCCCCACAAACAGCGGGGAACTGAGCAATGCGCTTTAAACTCTTGGTCTCTCTGGTGTCCTATGAAGCTGGCACTGTTACAGGGCTGAGCCAGGTTTGTACCTAAAGGGCCTAACTGCACAGTTCTTGTTTGTCTTCAGAGGGTCCCTGAAAAGTGGGATGGGGCACAGAGACAAGGAATGCAGGGCGAAGCCCAAGTGAGTTGGGGCACTCACCTGAATCTCTTCCAGGAAGAGGTTGGTCTCCACAAAGCGGTTGTTCATGAAGCCATTGGGTGCCCGGCAATTCTGCAGAAAGCGGGCCGGATTGGGACGCACCTTGGGGTTGGCTCCTACCAACTCACAGTAATGGGGTACCAGGGATTTGGGGATCTGTAAGGGAAGGCTCAGTATCAGGGAAGAGATGGAGGGAGGAAGACGGCAGGAAAAGCATGTGGTGGAGCGATTAGGGGCTGAATGCTTACCTTCCCAGGGTTGCGGAGGGCAGCTGCCCGAGGTAAGGGCCCATTGAAGACTTCCCAGATGAGGCAGCCCAAGCGCCACATGTCTGCTGACCTGTGGCAATAACCCCACCTACTCAGGGACCCACACCTACAAGTGCCAGTCTCCAACCAGGCAGCCGCTACACGGCAGGCCTGCAGCTAACCCGTCAACCCGAAGCAACTGGTTTCCTTCATCCCGTTTAACAGGGTGAGCCAGGCACCGGTGTGGCTCATGCCTGTAATCCATGCTACTCAGGAAGATGAAATCTGAGAATAGTGGTTCGAAGCCAGCCCAGGCAGGAAAGTCCATGAGACTCTTTATCTCCAATTAACCACCAAAAGCCAGACATAGAGCTGTGACTCAAAAAAGGTAGAGCACTAGTCTTGAGGGAAAAAATTAAGGAACAGCACAGCACCCAGGCCCTGAGTTCAAGCCACAGTACCACCACAAAAAAAAAAAAGGAACTAAGGATCAGAGAAACAAGAACATGTATCCCTGGTCAAAAGGCTTTCAATATTCAGAACCATCTAACCCTGAGGCCTGCATCCACTCTGCCCTACAGCTGTGAGAACTGGGGAAAAGGCCCCTCTCCTAAAACCCTGTTCCCTCCCCAGCCAGGCAGGAAGGGGCAGCAGGAAAGTGCCAGCTAGTATAGGGGTACAAAGATGCAGGAACCTCCCGAACACCCACCACTTCTCTCTGACGGCTCTGCCACTGCTGCCAGCCAGTTCTGGGGGATCATACTGCTCAAGCTCAGGGATTCCCTTGCGTGGGGGTCCCCCACCATTGCCTTGGGCTGAGTACATGTAGTCCAGGCCCCCAAGTTTCCACTCGCCCGCTCGGTCCACGAACACGGCAGCCATGCAGACGTTGTTGTGAATGAGGTTGCAGTCATTGACCAGGAAGCTGAGCGCTTTCAAGATCTGGTGCAGCCCCCAGGACAGCTCCTGCTCCTTCAGGCCACCAGCTTCCACCCGGGCCTTGAGGTACATTCCCAGGGGGGTCACAGCCTCTGTCACTACATGGAGGCACTTTTCTGTCTGGGGAAGGAGATGGGGTATCAGGGCAGGGATGAGGACACCAGGGAGGAGGAAGGGAGCTAGTGAAGCAGAAACCAAATGGGGGTGCTGACATCCATGGATGGACAGAGACAGGCTGAGAGGCAGGAGGTGAGAGACGAGAGATGGGCAGTCTGGCAAGCAGATACCTCCAGCCCATCGATGTAGGCCAGGATGTTGGGGTGCCTGAGCGTTTTGAGGCGCTTGAAGGCAGCTTTGGCCACCTGGGTCTGCTCCTCCGAGCCGGGCTTCACGTCATACACGAAGATGGACACTGGGCTGCCTGTGGCCTGGGGGAGGACAGGGCGGCCGAGGGGCTTGGGATCAGATCGTCCTCTCGACCGGGCCTGGGTCTCACCGGCCCCCCATCCAAGCGGAAGGAACAGGCTGCCCGCCGGCCTCTTCCCAGGTCAGCCCTTAGGAGCATAACCGGGCCCACGTGACCCCAGGTCTGCCGGCCCTTCGGTCCCTCAATCCTTCCTCCCGCCACGTCGGCAGTGCCCGCCCCCTCCCCGGCCCGTTGCCCCGGAGCCCCGGTCGCCACGTCAGGCCAGGCGCGACGCGGCGGGGCCGGCGACGCGGACTAGGCAAGGCCGAGGTCGGCCGCGGCCTGTGGAGCGGCGCCAAACCTCACCTTCTTGCGGCCTCGGTGCAGGACCCAGGGCCCTGGTGAGCTGCCCTCGGGGGGCTCCGGGCTGAGCTCGAACGGGAAGTCCCGGACTGGGTCCCGCGCAAAGAACCACATCGTCCCGGCCGCCGCGGCGGGCTCGGGCGCCTCAGCTCCGGGTCCTCCGGCAGCCCGAGCCGGGGCGGGGATGGGCGGGGCTCTGGGGCTGAGAGATGGGCGGGGTCCTGCCTGAAGGGGCGTGGCCTCTGGCGCTGGGAGATGGGCGGGTCTGCTCAGTTGTGGGCGGGACCTGGCCGGAGATGGGCGGGGCCTGAGGTGGGGTAAAGCGGGGTTGGGGCGGGGTAGATCAACACAACAGTAGACTGACTGCTCTGGCGGGTCACCTAAACTACTGTCTTTATATAAAAGGGGCGTGGCAGAGTCCATCTTTCTTTGTAAGGATAAAAGCTTGAGAAGGAACGGACGAGAATGCCACTGGTAGGCAGGCCTGGTTGAATCCCGATTCAGTCCCTCACTGGCTGTGGGAACTCAGGAAGATCCTGGGTCTTCGTGGGGTCTTCCCCTATCTATCAGATGACCCAGAACAGCCACACTGCAGATCCTTCCTATCTTTGTCTAAGTTAACTGTGGAGCTGGGCACGGTGGCTCACGCCTGTAATCCTATTGGCTCAGGAGGCTGAGGTCTGAGGATGATGGTTCGAAGCCAGCCAGAGGAGGCAATCCGTGAGCCTCTCATCTCCAATCAACCACAAAAAGCCAAGCTGTGGCTCCAGTGGTGAGAGTGCCATCCTTGAGCAAAAAAAACTAAGGGATAGCCCCTAGGACCTGAGTTCAAGACCTAGTACCGGTGCACACACCAGTACTACAGGACGGTCATGCAGAGGCAGTGTCAGACAGTGTGGGCTGTACAGCACACCTTAGGAATCTCAGCTAGAGCTCAGTACGGTGGCACACACCAGTCACAGTAAATGGGGGAGGAGAGTTGCCAGTTTGATTCCAGCCAGGGCTACATAGTGAGATCCTGTTTCAAGAAAACAAATTACAGGGGCTGGGAAGGTGGCTCAGTGGTAGAGCGCTTGCCTTGCATGCATGAGGCCCTTGGTTCGATTCCTCAGGACCACATAAGCAGAAAAAGCCAGAAGTGGCTCTGTGGCTCAAATGATAGAGCGCTAGCCTTGAGCTGAGAGCTGAGGGACAGCGCCCAGGCCCAGAGTTCACACTCCACGACCAACCAAAAAGAAAAAAAGAAAAAGAAAGAAAAACAACTTACAGCTAGACAACCTCCTGCGTGGCTTGAAGAGGCGGGAGGCAGTGGCCATACTGACTGTGAGTGGTAGTGCTGGCGATGAGGGTGTTCCAGCACTGAGGTGGAGGCAGGCAGAGGTCTAAGATGCCAGAATACAGCGGCTCGTCCTGTCGAAGAGGCACAACCTGAGCAGTTTGAGCAGGGTGGGGGGGGGAGGGAATGCAGAGGGGGAAGCTGAGGTTTAGTGGTTCTTCAGGGTAATTCACCCGAGGGCAAGGGCTCAGGAATATTAAGAGTCCTGTGATGGTTTTCAGTCAATGTAATGTTCTCTTACCAGCTACCTGAATTCAGGCCCGGCACAGGGGCCTCACTTGGGGAAGAAACAGGTGCAGGTGCAGGGCCACTGGGCCAGGGGAAGCTGGGAGTACACAAGGAACAGAGGAGTAGCAAGGAGGATGACACCAAGTCCAGTATAGCACGAGCCATGCTATGCCAGCCAGGCGCCCTTGACTCACACCTGTTATCCTAGCTACTCAGGAGGCTGAGATCTGAGGATCACCGTTCAAAGCCTGAGTAAGCCATGAGACTTTTTGTCTCCAATTAATCACCAAAAAGCCAGAAATGAAGCCATGACTCCAGTAGCAGAACGCTAGCTTTAAGCAAAAGAAGTTCAGGGACAGTTCCCAGGCATGTGCCTATGTGCGCGTGTGCACGTGCGCACACACGCACCCCCCCCACACACACACACGAGAAGGATTGGGATGAAGGATTTGGCTTTCAAACACTGTTGGTGAGAATAAGTTGGTCCAACCATGGTGAAAGACAATTTGGCAATAGCTGTCAAACATTTGCAAATGCATCTCCATTGCCTCAGTAATTCCAATGGAAATCCCATACAAACCGACGTTCACATGCTCAAAGGTAGCAGGGCATGGATTGCTCATGCCTGTAATCTCAGCTAGTTGGGAGGCTGACAACAGGAGGATCACTCTTTTGAGGCCAGCTTAAGCAGAAAAATCTGTAAGACTCCACTCCATGGGGGGGGGCACCTGTGTAGGCGGACACATGCATGAAGTTTCAGTAATAATAGAAAGCCAAGGAGGCAGATCATGGCTCAGGTGTGCCTGGGTTGGAAATGAGACTCTATCCTAAGAAATCAATGAAAAGCAGGGTTGGAAGTATGGTTCAGTGGTATCATGCCAGCCCAGCAAGCTCTAGATCCTGAGTTAAACCCCCTCAGCATCACAAAAAAAAAAAAAAAAAAAAGCAAAAATGTAGGTACTCTGGGCACTGGTAGCTCACATCTATGATCCTAGTTACTCAGGAGCTGAGATTTGAGGATCACAGTTCAAAGCTAGA